TCTCTGCTTTGAAAACGTCCAAAGAATGAGTTTGCCTGCTGCTCATATTATGCTGCAGATCTACTATGCGGCAGGTCTTAAGTTCTGCAGGTGGATAAATTGAAGTTTTAGGGTGCATTTGATCGATGGCTGCAAAGGTTTCCAAATCAGCAAATGCCTGACCAACCCATAAGCATTTGTAGATGTTGGAGTAAATCAGAAATGGCCTTACGAAGGTTGTAGGTGCAGAAGTCCAAAAACGACTGATTTCTTCATTAAATTCATCGAAGAGTTGCTGCTGATATGGGATCTTTATCAGTCTATGCAATATCAATGTCTATGCAATATATTTATCAGCTTTATCAGTAAAGCAAGATTTTATTCTGCAGCCTTCTTCGATATTCCATTATTGTTCCTTTCCTATCAAGAGTTCCTTTATATGCGTAGGCTCACTTTTTACATAGTAATATCCAGTGCTCTAGCACCAATTTCAGCAGTTAATTACTATCTCATTTGCACTACTATCAATCATACACTATTCTCAATCAGTGTATCATTCAGAACATTTAACCATTAAAAGGAGAACATATTCCAGGAACAAGTCAAAATTTTTCTTCATGATTTTTATGATCCTGTTTTGGCTCAATGAAAATTGGGCGTGCCTGTTATTGGCTCTCAGCTACTCTTGCATTAGCTGGACTTTCCTTTGTTCCTTGGTGCAACATAACTCTTGCTAAACTGTTGAGAAACTCTGACAGTAAAGCGAACATGGCGGCCTTGCAAACTGTGGCAGTAAAACCAATGATGATAGGTTTTAAAATTTAAATGATTGCATTTACTTGCATTACTCTTAAAGTGCAGTGATATTGCTCAAAAGTATTAGATAGTCTGAGAACTTACATAACAGCGTTTGATAACAGGAGGATGCGCTGCTTTCAAAAATCATTTTAAAATCATGTTTACTTCCACGTATCAAAGTTATATGTAAAAATACTAATTTAACGTTTAAAGAGCACATCAACAAAATGTCAAAAGAGCCTTTATTAATTAAAATTGGCTAATGAATATTCTTGAAGACAAAAGAAACAACGTGAGATTTTTTATGGGTTGAATTACGGGCTTTCTCGACCAACGCATCATTTAGGAGGTTCGTCAGCTGAAGGTAAAATTTACCGGGTCATATAGACTTTGAACGTAAATGTGTCAAGCATCGCTTCTATTTGTGGGAAACACCCCTACTTAAGAATTTCGAAGACATGCCGCACATCCAAATCAATAGAATTGTTGTTTCAGGAACCATTTCGCATTTCTTGAACCCGACTGATCACAGAGAACATACCAGATAAAAAGGAAGAACATAATGGTGATCCTAATACCAACAGAATGAAATATTTCGTGAACGATATTTCTCCCTGGAGAGCTGTTATCTCTCTTAAGTTTGTTTTCTCCTAAGTAATCCCTGGAAGAGGTAGTGGTGGCTCGATATCTGGGTTTCCAGAAGTGTCCAGAATATGTGTGTGTGTGTGATTATGGCAAAGCCTCAAGGGCTATCTGCCTAAAGGAGGGATGCCTTTCGTGGAGGACTTTCTAAGGGAAACTGGCTCGTATACACGTTACACATGGGGAAAACCACGAAAACGCCCATGCAGCCAGCCCGTTCGCGGGGATTCGAACCTCGGACCGAACTACCAGTGTTCAGCGACTTTACCGCTCGGCCGCTGGTGGGCAAGTGTCCAGAATACTAAAAGAAAATGGATATTTTATGGATCACGGCCCCGTATTTTTCTTTATCACTTACGCTAACCTCGAAATTCTAAGTCCTAATGGTCAGATTTGAGAGACATATTTCAGTCATCTTTAGCAATCACAGAACTTGCCTTGTTCATCAAACTGTGATAGAATTCATCACAGTTCAATGGAGAGATTTTCATATATACAGCCTTAATCTGTCTACAACCTAAATCTATAAAAAATCGTTTTCCTGTATATGTCTTTTAATGTTACCCTCAAACGAAGTTTTTATAAATAATGCTACTTTGTCTAGCATCCATTTTTTCCCAAACTATTATTTTGCCGCATTACTAATTTTTAAATCACGTTCCTAGTGCAGCAGGTTCGTACAGATCGTTTAGAAAAAGAAATTTGAAGTAAAGGATATATTCTTTATTTGCGTTAGCTTTTCTTTGATTAAAATCTAACTGCATAGTGATGCAGAAACATGAGTCTTAACTTGTCGGTATGGAAACCAATTCTCAGTAAAATTTGCTAGATTCGTGACATCGGACCCTTTCGTCTACTATTACTTTACAGTCGGAAAAATTGCAAGACACATAAATATATGGCAACTTATTTTTTTATAATCTTAGATTATTATTTTTTTCCGTTAATGTGTCCTCTGCATTATATATTCTTCGGTGTTTGAAGAAAATGATGCCTAAAACTAATTAGAACACTAGAGATGTTTGATCAATGTAACAGCAGAAGCAAATGGCTTGATGTAAATTTCTCGGTTAAAAAGGTTACATGGTGGGCAGGAGATTGAGAAAACATTGATGAATTTCTCCATTTTATTTTTCGTAACATAAAGCACAATGCTATTAAATCAATTCATTATAAACATCTTATTCCTCATGACTTCTAACCATCTCAGAATATCTAACCTTCTTAATTGATTTTTGGAATTTTTTTTTTTTTTAATTCACGTAACTGTGATGCATGTTGGCTGAAACGAGTTGACGTCATTGACGTCATCATGCTAATCAAAGTTACTTTCGTGGACTAAGGCTACATACTTTCAAAACAAAACCCTTCTATGATTTGCTTTTACAATACTCCTGATGAATTAATGCAAGTACCAAAGGGGCTCTACATGTGTTTTAAGGACAGAAGACACAAAATTCATGTTTATGTGAGGAAACACGGAAAACAGAGGGAATCTAAATAACTCTAGATTATGATACATAAATAAAAAAAACACCATTTGGGGAAGACTAAGCCTGAGAAGATCTTAAGTGCTGCAACCATTTTTCCAATAAGTGCAGCACTTAAATATCGAGCCCCAATGGTGAGACAGTCTTCCACGTTTCTGGATTGCTAGCAGGCACAACATAACAACAGTAACATGGAACTTATAAAGATACCTTAAAGATTAAATGACCGATGTGGCATCATGTTTTGAATACTTTTTTCTTGAAAGTCAGTCGTTATTGATTCTGATTATTTCTGAGAAAGCACGACTGTAAATCTACAAGATCTTTTCTAATTGGAACGTTTCAGTTTTTTTGGTTCGTTTCCTTACGAAGCCTTGACGTTTGTGAGTTTCACCCTGCAGTACTAATATAAGGTATTCCTCCGGCTTTCTTAGCATGTCTTCATAGTGTAGTGGTCTGCACGCTAGGCGCGTGTTCCAGAGGTCCATCGTTCGATTCCCGGCGGAGGCTTTGCACATTTTTCATGACTCTTTCTTCCGAAAAATATCTAATGTCTCTCCAGTGGCGCTTGAACTAAAAGGGTGGTGGGTGATGATTCTCTACAGCTAGCATTTGGCGACTGAGTCCCTTAAAAACCCCAGTCATCCTTTAAAAAGGGGGAGAATATAAAGTATTTCTCCCGCTTTCTTAGCATGCCTTCGTAGTGTAGTGGTATGCACGTTAGGCGCGTATTCCAGTGTATTCCGTGATTCGATTCCTGGCGAAGGCTTTGCTCATGTTTCATGACTCCTGATAAAAAAAAATACATAATGTCTCTACAACTAATAGAATGCAGTTCGCTTTGTTTCATCATTTTAAGTTGAATCGATACCGATGTAGGTGTTTTAACAAACTTAAGTAAATTAAAACTTTAGCTAATATCTAAGTCGTGTGGCAGTGAATGGATGGTGCTTCTTATATGTATCTTATTTTGTGGATTAAAAAAGGGTATGTTATTAACGAAACCAAACCTTTATTTAAAGCAAAGCAAACATTTCCTAATATGTAAATATTTCGAATTTTTATATATGATCAGAATGGTCATTAGTTCATACTGATAACTTTTACGATTACTCAAAGTGTGCTTCTTTAAGTTAATTTTTGTATCTTTTGTCTTCGTATAGGCACGAATTTTCAGATAAATTAATACTAGGTCTTGTGGGCCTTCAAGAATATGGCTGGATATTCTAGCTCAGAGATTCTCAAACCGTTTTGCTCCATGCACCCCTTTCACCGCTGCTAGACAAGCATTTCTCCCCGCCCATTCCAAAGTTTGAAAAATACGTAACCATTTAACTAAATTTAGTATATGTTGTAATATGTTTTATAGATTAAACAGAAAAAGTATAAAAATGTTATTAAATATCAAAACTTGAATAAAAAATATTTTGCTATATTCATAAAAAAAAAATAATTACTTAAGTAAATAAAAGGCAAAATAAAAGGCTGACCTCATCCCCCACCCCACTTGAAAGTATAAAATCCCCCTCTACCGGGAATTTCCCTCTGCTTGAGGACCCCCTTCCCTGTCTATAACGAATAATGATCCGGCAGATATATATTACACATGTCAGAGAACTCGAAACAGTTTTGATTTAATATAGAACACAGTACTCCAAAATATAAGAAAAAGTAAAATGTATCCAAAAATTTGAATTCGTAATGATAATTTTATGCAGATCTTACATTTTGCGATGCTTCACATACGAAGAAATCCGCTTTTGGTATACAAAAAAAAAATATTTAAAATATCTTATAAAATATTTAAAATACCTTATAAAATATTTAAAATACCTTATTAATTGTATGCTGTAGCGTCATTAGATTATTTCGAAGCAGGAGACGAGAAAAAAGTGTTATGCCCTCGCCGGGATTCGAATTCATGCTTCGAGTATGCTTCCAAGGCATGCGGAAAGATGGGAGAAAATACCTTATAATGTGACATTAGTATAGAAGAAAGAGCATTTAGTTACAGAACAAAATAAAGATTTTTATTATGTACAAGTATGAATGTTTGCGTTTTTTAAGGAATAATTCACAAAAACACCAAGGTGGTTTCCCTGAGAAACTTTATTAAAAACATCTTTCTTCATTGTGGACAATAGAACGCATATAAAAATAAGTTTCGGGACTAGGGAACACATCCCATCCTTCGCGCGGCAGTATTATTCTTTTATACACGGAAGTGCAGTGTGACCAGTCAATTATAACAGCCAGTACGCATACACGAGACGCTATTTACATGGATTCCAACAGTTAATCAGTCTTCTGCGGTAATTTGATTTGACACAAACCACGAAAAGTTTCTTGCGAGTCAGCACAAGACGTTCAGCATATTCACTTTTATATTTTATGGATAAGAACAGAGCCGATGGGTTTTTGGAGTTTCTAAATGTTATTGTTCTAAATGTCTGAAAGACGCTGCAGAACCGACCATACAGATGGTGCCTTGTACCTCTTTTTGGTACATCTTCGGGAGGTCACAGGAATAGCCGTCGGAGGCTTCCGTGGAAACGAAGATGGCGCACATTCGCAAACGTGTAAATGATTGATGAATAATTTGTAGTCTAAACGTCCGTTTGTATGTTCTTGACGTACGGTCTGTGGAGGGTCACGCCTTCTTCAATTGGTAAAACCTTGACGCGCTTCTGGGGAGTGATATGAGAATAATCCCTCAGCGCTGATTCTTGTTCAAGATCCATCTGGAAAATAAAACGTAGCATTTACTATAAAATAAAAACAAGCAGAAATAAAATGGAAAAATACTTCTTCAATCTGAAAATTCCATATAACAATGTAATGCTTATCACTAAGAATGTATCATTATTACTTCCTTGTAAGAAGTAAAGGAAGTATTGTAGTAACAAGAAATTACGGGTATCATAATTCAACGAAAATATTCATTCTTACAAATATCGAATGCAATTTAGCGAAGGTTTTGCGTCACATCTGTACATGAGGACAAAATAAAGGATTCTTTTTTCCAAACGAATTATAAAACTGATTTAAAGTGGATTCAAAACATATTTTTAGTGGCCTCTGTACGTGCGTACATACGCATGTATGTATGCATCTCGCACAACCCAAGAACAAGTAGGAGTAGAACTATGAAAGTTTGTATATAGGACTGCTATAACATGTAGTTGTACACCTCCCTTTTTGATTGCAATCGACAACACCAAAATGTAGTACATATATATATATGTAATATATTCAGGAGCAGGAATTTTGTTGGCCGTAGAAATGTTGATCCATAATGACTAGGAAATTGGAGGCGAAGGCAGATTAAATCTTCAGTTTTATTTTCAGCAACATGGTACCGCTACACACAAGTCGGCACATTAAATGTGACTGTTCCAAAAGGCTTACATTTCTGATAAGACAGACTGCAGTCCACCTAAGGCAAAGCGTAGAAAACATGTGCGTCATGTAATGAATCAGGATGAAATCTTAAGTAAAACTGAGTTAGTTTTGCTTTTCAAAGCATTTTGATCGGATAGCTAATATTGCGCTGTAAAATTATTATTGGCTGCTTGAGGTTTAGTTCAATTTACATCACGTAAGAGCCATATGACATAGATTTTTCTCGAAATGACGCAGTGCAAATAGATGTTGCTATTTTTAGAAAGGAAATTAATTTACGCTGCTAATTTAATCTTTTACATATTCTTTATTTTTTTTACATGTATATGTATTAAATGATCTAAAATTCATTGAGTTCGAAAGCAAGTTTTTATAATACTTGCGCAATAGATGCAAAGTAAGATAATAATAATTTATTTACTAAAGAAATATTGATTATATTATCTCCTAATATAAATTTAGTAGAATGTATCAAAAAGAGAGAACCCATATGTAGGATGTTTAATTCAGAAAATTGTCTTTTAAATGAACTTGAATGTAAATCATGAAAAAAAACTTTTTAAGGGGACTTGAATTTATATCATGAAAAACAAAATTTCAAACTTTGAAAAAGAAAGTAAAAAACAAGTTATTATCGCTATTGAGCGGAAATGAGTTGACTTTTCAAGGGGAACAAACCAACTCCCGTTCAATGAACAATAATTAATAAATGCGAAGGTGTTTCGTCATTTACTCAAGTAACAAAGATGATGCCAAACTGGGAAATAAAGTTAGGCCATATATATATATGTGTGTGTGTGTGTATATATATATATAAAATTCCCTCTCTCTCTCTCTGTACATATATATATATATAGCCACTCTGTTACTCCGCTCAGTAAGCTCAGTTTTTTTATAATTACATACTGGTAAATTGCGCATTTTTTTAAATTTTAGAATGATTGAATTATGTTGTACTTATCTTCCGATTAAGGCTTTTATGCCTCTAGTCAATCTGCATGCAATAATTGTAGAATTATCAATAATTTAAAAGTTTTTAGGTGAATTGAGATTCATTTTTCTTACCAAAGCAGCCATATTTGTTTACATTTGAAACTTAACATAATAGTTAATTAAGTCTTTCTGCACCTTCAGTGTCTTTTTGTCGAGTGGGACCAAAAGGTATGTGCACCGAAAAATTGCCTTCCTGCCCGCTGGCCGAGTTGCTTGTTTTTGCGTAGAAACTGCAATTTTAATTCCAACAATTGTTTTTTTTTTAATTGTTTCAACTGTATTTTATATACTATGTTTTTCTGTATCTTCCAAATTGTAATGAAGATATTTTGAGTATTTGTATACTTTTGCCCTAAAAGTAAAGACTTAAATTATTACAACATGCGTCTATTGCTTTCAAATCTCTCAATCAATAACAAACTGACTAAATATTGGAAGATAAAAACGCATGCTTTTCCCAAAGGCAGCACTCTGAGAACCAGCTCTGGGCAATAGTGCATGGAACATAAATTTAAAGTCTTACGTTGTGAGCCCTGGCAAGAATTCCCAACGCACGTGAAGAATAAATGGTGTTTGTTTCTAATTTTTTTCCATTTATTACTCACCATTAATGACGCGTGATCATGTCTATGGATTTTATTTGACCAAGGTATGCTTTTTTGCATGTCAAATGAAAACAAAATTAATACAGTTAAGTAAAATTAAATTAGTATAATTACTTAGTATAAGATTACTAAACAATAACACGCAGCATGTATACAAAGTTTTATTACTGAACAATGTAATATAGAAACTATATAGAAGAAATTTTCTTTTTAAAGAAAAAAATTCTTTAAAAAGAATTTGAAAGCTTTCAGATTTTATTACGTCTAAAGGGGCGTTGTTTTAACGTTTTGTGCGTTACCTTTGTTTATTATATATCATGTTCTTCTCACTTAAACCATAAAACTCAATTCAACAGCAATATCGCGAAATATTTAAAAAGAGCATATCTTTAGAATTTCCGATACACAATCTAGTGCGACGGAGATTTTTTTTTTTTTTCCATACAGTGTTGCCGTTGTCCGCTTTGAAATCGTTGAGTTTATTGATCAAAAATTCATTAACGTTTTACAAGATATGAAATATATAATACAAAATATTCGAAATTCAGGCATCCAGAGGCCCATGTTCGGGTGGAGGATTATGTTATTCAAAATTATACCTCTAGGAACCATATTTTTTTCACAATGGGAGAAACATACAGACATTCATGCAGATACTTCATTATTTAATTTCTTTAAATATAATGCAGGGCGATAATAATCGTTGGCAACAATATGAAAAGTGAAAGGACATTTATAGTGAAACAAAGCAAAATATCGTTTCGCAAGAAATAGCCCTCCGGGCTACCCCCCCCTTAGTGTTCAAAAAATGTTTCGTTGTTGTTTGATTTTCCAAGTATTCTTTTTTATTGTTGTGTTTGTCACAGCATTTCTAAATTTTTCTATATGCTGTCGCTGAAGTCAGCTGTTTTTAATTATTTTGAGGTTAAAAATCAGTTTGTCTGTACATATGTCCGAAAAGGTACACTACGAACCGGTAATATTGCTCATAATTTAGTAACATTATTTCAACATTTGCTGTTCTCGTGAACGTATATATTTAGCTTTCGTAACAAATCTAATTATAGTAGTCAGTAGGTCTAATCTTATTCGAGACGTCAAATTTAATATGAAGAAAAGAATGAGAGCTTAATGTATTGTGAAAAGAATTGTTTCCTGAAGATACTAAAGTATCCTCATAGGTTCGTGAATGTCAAGGCAAGGCATCATCTGTGCGTTTGCTAAATCGGACGCTGAAGTTGAAAATACTGCAGAATCTCCGTTAGCAGATATTCACAAAATCGAGATCTGTTTAAGAAGTGTCTACTATTATAATGTTTACGAATTTTTATTTTGGCAACTAATTCTTACCGTCAAGTTTGGCGAAAAATCGCCAAAAATCGCCAGACTTGAAGAATATTTGGCGACATTTTGGTCCAGTCTCTGTATAACGGTAACGGTTATTGTAATGATCATCTATGTAGCTGTAACTATATCTGACCCTCACGTGCCTTCCAGTAATTTCGAAAAATCGAAAGCACTAGAAATCTCTTGGCGGTCGGGCGAAAACTTTATGAGCCTGAGCGGAGCATCACTTTCTCAGCGTATTTCAGAATATTGAGATATCTCCGCGTTAGCTTTATTCGATGTGCTTTGAATTGAGTTGTGTTTAACGTTCTTTGTAGTTTGAAATATAACTACCGATTGTCCTCTCATACTGTGAAGAACTGTGCGAGTATTTTTGTGGAAAGTTCCATAACTGCGAATTGTTTCTTTGGATAAAATAAATTTTGTAGCTATCATCAATTCTGTGTGCATTCAATCTATTACGAAGACGTACGCACGTAACAGTACTAACAAAAAGTAATATAATAAAAAATACTTAATAATGTGGCATTAATACAGCATTTAATTGCATAGCTTACAGTATTTAATTGCGAACTACTTTCAAAATACAGTTTCTGCTTAAAGAAAAAAAAGAGAGATTTTTATACTATACGAAGATTGAAGAAAATTGCAGCTCAGTAACAAATGAGAGAAAAAATCATCAACAATCTCGTTGCGACGTGGAAGTGAAATTTAAAATGAATACGTCCCATAATCGTTTAAAATATTCATACAAAGAGAAGCAAACGGTTATAATGAAATTATTGTTTACAGAAACAACAGGGGATAAATTTAAAGAAGATACAGTTCACAATATGTAGACATTTCTTGAAAGGACAGAATTAAACTCAGTTTAAAAAATACATATTATTTTCAGACTTAAGCTTAATAATTTACAGAAAATGCGATTTTGTTTTGTTAAGGGATAAATTTATTGAAGGCATAATTTAATAACTACAGATGCTTTCGCAGCAATTAAATTTAACAAAGGTTATGGTTTACAAAACTTATTTTTTCCTCAGATTTAAAGTTAATCAAACTCCTGGTGCAAAATGAATTATTTATAACTTCAAAATTACACCTAAAGAATTTCTGTAATTAGCCTAAATGAAAAAATTCCGCAGCCATTTCGGACAGAAAGTGATCGCAAAGCAAATTTTTACTGATCATACTTCTCTAAGTTTAAATTTGCTAAAAATTTTTGAAAAAAATAGAATATTTATGAATTTTTCTCACTCGAGTCAGCACTCAGTTCTTCTGACTACTTATTTGGACGTTATTTTGTGATAATATTCGCATATTCGAAAGCAAGGTAAAGTACCTCTTTCTTGGAAAAATTATGCAACATAGTTTTTCAGTCTTTGATAAGTAAAGATTTACTATTTTAAAAGTCAAACAGCAAAAACAAGTGTTATATTTGTAAATTTTTCAGGACTAGTTATAAGGTATTTCTCCCCACTTCTTAGCGTGCCTTCGTGGTGTAGTGGTCCCGACGCTGGGCGCGTATTCATAGGTCTGTGGTTCGATTCCCGGAGAGGGCGTTGCCCATTTTTCTTCTTTCCTGCTTCCAAATTACATAACGATTATACAAGTGGTGCCCGGACTAAAAGGGTGGTGAATGATGATTCTCTACACCCAGGATTTGGCGATTGGGTCCCCTAAAACCTCAGTCGTCCTTTAAAAGGGGGAGTATATAAGATATTTCTCCAACCTTCTTAGCATGCCTTCCTGGTGTGGTGGTCTGCACACTGGGCGCGGTTCGATTCTCGGCGAAAGCGTTGCTCACTTTCACTTCCCATGCTTTCAAAAAATATTTAATGTTTCTACAGTGGCTCCCAAACTTAAAAGGGAGGTGAATGATGATTCTCTACACCAAGGATTTGGCGATTGGCTTCCCTAAAGGCGCAGTCGATCTTTAAAAGGGGAAATATATAAGGTATTTCTCCCGCCTTCTTAGCATGCCTTCGTGGTGTAGTGGTCTGCAGGTTGGGCGCATATTCCAGAAATCCGTGGTTCGATTCCAGGCGAAGGCTTTGCTCATTTTTTGCTTCCAAAAATACCTAATGTCTCTACATAGTTTTGATGGTTCGGTAGTTAAAACATCGAAGCTAGCCCTGGATAATTTGCAAATATAACGTTGGCTTTTGTTGTTTGACTTCTAAAATAAAGTAAAGAGCCGTTAATACTCGTATTTTTTACAACAAAGATAAAAAAAATGCAAACGAAATATTGTGATAACATGTGGCTTACTTAGAGTTCTTCTCGTGATGAACGGATTAAATGTGACCGTTGTCTTTTTTCTGTTTCCATTTGGAGGATTCGCTATTTAGATTCTTAACGGTCTATTTAAACTATTATGAGAAAATGACAGCCCATTTGAGCCATGAACTTGAATATGAAACAATGTTTTCTTATCCGTACAAGTGGCCATACTTCGGACTGTTATCATTTGGCGACGATTCGCTACAATCCTAACAAAATAATTATATAATAAGTAGTGTATAATAATATGATATTAATAACTTAGAAACTTATGTTTTTTTCAGCTGTTTTGCAATAAATTATTCTCTTATACTACATAATTGGGAAGTACTTTCAAAATATAGTTTGTGCTAAACTGAAAGAAAAAAACCTTATGTGGACACCACATGTCTTCCTTGTATCAAATATTAAATTATATGCATTTTTTGCCGCATTTCATTGAAATACATTTCCCCGAAATTCATTAGATAGATTTCGCATTCAATTAATTCAGTTCTCTCTTCGTGATAACGCAGAAATGCATAAAACCACAGAATATCTTCATTAAAAATTGAAAAATATAGAAAACAATAAAACACCAAATAGAGTTAAAACAGTCAGGGAACAATTTTTACAATTAAAATTATAGTTTCTACGCAAAAGCGAGCAATTTGGCCAGCTAGCAACAAGGCAGACTTTTCGGTGCACGAAACTGAAAGTTTAATTTTGGTCCCATTCGTCAAAAAGACGCTATAAGTGCAGAAACTGAAAGTGAATTCTCCATTCTGCTAAGTTTCAAATGTAAACAAATATGGCTGCTATAGTAAACATAAATTAGATTTAGCCGCACTTAAACAACTATTAAATTGTAATTAATTCTGCGTCTTTTGCATGCAGATTAACTAAAGGCATAAAAACCTTAACCGGAGGATAAGAATAGCATAATTCAGACATTTTAAAGGAAAGAATGCATAATTTACCAACATATAAGAGAAAAAAACCTGCGCTAAACAAACCCGAGTAACAGAGTGAGTATATATATATATATAATTAAAGAAAAGAGAAGAAACTAAAAAAAAATTTTGTACATTGGCATTTGTAATTTGTTTGTACATTGGCATTAACAGTCCATTATGTATAGTAATTATTACACCTTAATGTGTTTCTTCAAGTGGACGCATCGGGAAATTTGAACAGAGAATTGAGACTAAAGTTCATGGCTAAGTTTTTTTCAATTAATTTTTAAAAAAAAGAGTTTCGTATACACTTTCATTTGACGCGATATGGAGTTAGCTGGATTCGAAAATCATTAAACAAATCTCCCCGGAAGAGCCTTAATGAGATTCGAATTGGGCTAATCTACCATTTACTGCTTCTTTGTTTTTGTATTTTTGCTTAAGACTTTTGTCACAGTTTAATTCTAATGTTAAAATATGCCTTACTTGATCAGCATATTGCTTTCAATTAGTAAATGTTCAAGTGTTTATATTGTTAGTTTAATCTTTTATATTTACACATTTCATTGCACTTTATTTTACTTGTATTAATATTGTCAACGGAACCACAGTATCTAAGCAACGTTTTGGCATACGAACTAGGAATTTTCTTTTAAATATATATATATATACCACGATTACTCGGGCATATAAATATATATATATTTATTTATATATTCTTTTGGTGTTGCCGATTGCAATCAAAACGGAAGGGGCACAACTGCATGTTTTAGCCGTCCTATAAGGAAAATTTCAACCTTCTGAGGATACTCGTTTTAGAGTTATGCGAGATATATACATACAAACCTACATACAAGCGCCAAGAAAAACATCTCTTCTAAATCCCTTTTATATCAGTTTTATAATACGTTTGGGAAAAAATAGTCCTTTATTCTCTCCTTTACGTACAGGTGTCAAGCAAAAACATCGTTAAATCGTATTCGATAGTGGTCGAAATGGATATTTTCTTTGAATTATGACATTCGAATCTTTTCGGGATTGCAACATGTACTTTACTTCGAACATGAAACTAAAAAGTAATTATTGGTAATTTATTAATAATCCGCAAAAATTAAATAATAAATTTCGCGATTAAATTATACCCCTATAAGTCCCCGTGGTTAAGGCATGCTAGCCGTTTGGCGGCGGTTTACAGCTTACGTTGGCGATTTGTCGATTATCTTCAATATTTTTGAATCGTAACCTAAAAAGGCTTTGAGCGCTTTTTCTCGTAAAATTAAACGTTGAAATTTTGCACATAGGACGGCTATAACATGTAGTTGTGGACCTCCCGTTTAGATTAATTTCATTGACGTCCTGTAGAAGTACTCATTAAAAATATTGATAGAGCTACACTTTCAATGGTATCCAGATTCCCAATATCATCCCATGCTGGCTTCTAGCGCTACAGCCTTAATTTTCTGGACAGAATTCAGCACACCATATTTAATATTTAGCTGCGTTTAGCTCTTGAAATAATACTCTCTTGTCTGTACTTGCTTTCATTAAAATATTCTGAGAAAATGTTAAAAGATTTGAAGCAACCCTGAATTTTTTTTTATCAAATGATATTCAGAAAATGAACTTCAGGAAGCTTTATTAGGATTTCTTAAATAAATATACGCGCACTTTTAAAAACTGCAGTCTTAAGTTTGTTTTTCATTAACACGGAATTCAAAATTTGCTTTAATAAAAAGTTTCTAATTATATGTAAAAGGTGTGTTTTTTTTTTTTTCCTTTTAAGGAATAGGATAGCTTTTTCATTTACTTATTTTTCACGTTTATTAGGACTTGAGCCGAAAAGCGAAGGATGCGTTGCTCAGCTTACCTGTCTAGGCCTGCTAATTGTATTGATAGTTTGTCCCATTCCATTTACTCCCATGATTTGCAAGCTGGCAGCGTCGGCCAAGAACTGCTTGTCGAGGCCTTCCTCCGCGCTCTGCTCCGATGGAATGTTCACATCTGAAGAAGAAAAAAATAATAATACCGAAATAAAATCAAGTTTCTCAAGCTATTGAAGAAAAGCTAAGGACTTCATATAAAATGCAGTTAGATGGTAGCATATTTAACAAAATTTTGAACAGGTCTTATTGCTTTCCGTTAACCATTAAATTGTATTAAATTGTTACAATTAGAGATCAGAACCAAAAGATAATTGTTACAATTAAGGGGGCTCATACACCTTAAACCCCTTATGATCTTCGAATAAGTGATTGTTGCAAGAATTGGGATATTTTATTTATTTTAAAAGCAATAACTTCCATCGTTTTACAGCTGACTACATAATATAGCTGCTTTGGGAACTAGTAACCAGAAAGTTTGTATTGCCACAAATATTTTTGTAATTTAATCCGCTTTGTGACAAAATCTTTCGTAATATTTCCACCTTGCGTGCATGATATTTTAAAAATGGCTAATGGTACATTCTTGAAATTTGATGGAATTCCTTATATTCTTTATATATTATATTTTTAACTGAACCAAAAATCTGATGAATATTTTAATATTAAAACATTTTATGCACGAAAATATTACAGATTTTTTTAATAAAATGCATTTTATAAACTCGACTCCAAATAAAATAAAAATTTAACATGAAATTCTTAGAAGCTTTGATTCACAGTAGTTTTCAAATGTTTTAAAAGCTATATATTAAATATGGAATTAAATTATGCATCAGAATGTTGTAAACGGCGCGCGCAAGGTGAAAACAATGACGAAACATTTTGTCACAAAGCGAATTAAATTATAAAAATATTTGTGGCATCACAAACTTTCTGGTTACTATTTCAGAAAGCAGCTATATTATGTAGACAGCTGTAAAAATATGGAAGTAATTGCTTTTAAAATAAATGAGTTATCCCAATTCTTTGATGTCACACATTTGATGATCTTATGGGTTTTAAGGTGTACGAGTCCCCTTAAAGACCAGAACCAAAAGATAATCATTACAATTAAAGATCAGAATCAAAAGAACGCGTTGCTGCTAATTGACGATGGGTAATTTTAATTGTTATCGATATAAAATATATCTCTAACGAATTTATGGCTATGTATTTTGTATATTAATAATATAGTTCTTAAAACTGGTTGGCGTTTTAATTTTAGCTAGTTCAATTAGAAGCTAAGATATAGGCAGAAAATCTCTTGACGGGCATTAGTGAACAATTTTTGTCAAAAAGTTATCGACATTTGGAATTTTTCTTGGAAAAATGATGCAGTATATTTTAGAAAATACAAACGAAATACTGTGATAACACGTGGATTACTTAGAGCTCTTTTCGTGATGGACGGACTTTATTGGACCATCTCCTCTTTCCGGGTTCCATTTGGAAGATTCAGTATTTAGATTATCAACGGTCTATTTAAACTTTATTTTACTGAGCAAATGAAAGCACATTTTGACCATGGACTTGAATATGAAACACTACCTAAATTTCTTCATTTTTTGACATAGTTATTAAGTAGGTCTCTATACGAATATGTAACTCGAAACTATGCAAACACATTATTCATGCGTTAAGCAAAACGTATATTAATTAAAATAATGTTTTCAAAGTTTGTAAAAATTATGAATTGGATGTATTGTAAATCAGATACATTTTGTGTTATATGAGATAAATTTGTTATCAAACATAAACTAAAGACTTCAGTTATTAAGAAGTGTTTCAACAGCTTTTAATTCCCTCATTTCTTTAAACAATATAATTAAAATTTGAAAGGTAAAAAGTCACCTCCAATAGCAAAACTGAGTGTTTGAATAGAAGATAAAATCTTATCTTCTACTTAAAGAGTCAGTGTAATCTCATTTGTCTAGTGAAATAAAAGAAAAAAATCCTTTGCAGCTTAGAATAAAGCAATGCTCTAAGAATTTTGGAATAAATCTACCATAAGTCTACCATATTTATAAGTATGTTAACTGAAATTTTGGAAAATCATGAGTCTGATGACGCATGACATCTGGTGAATCATGCGTTATCAGGAAGTTATAGAAGTACCTGGTATGATATCGGGTCCTTTCTCCTCCCCTGGACTCTTTCCTGCTTCGTTGTTATCGTCATCTTTCCCAAGGCCCGTTTGTAATCTGAAATGCAATATCAGAGTATCATCAATATGCGAGAGGAAATACGTATTTTTTAACCCGTAATATATTTTAAGTATCATTTTAAGCGCTTAGATAATTACCCCGCTTGTATGTTGTTTTAAATCATGACTTTGTACGTTCAAGGCGTAAATATTCAAATCATTCATAAACATCCTGGGATAAAAAATCAGTATGGCATCTTAAATCTTCCAAATCTAAGACACAAAGTATCTTTCATAATAATTCAAATCTGTTTGATTCGTTGTATGTTGCAGTAAACAAGTTTGAACTTTGAAGCACAATTAATCGTCTTTATCTTTGTTTCAAATCAAAAAGCATTTGAATTACTCAAGATAAAAATATCATTCATAATTATCCAAACGAAAGCATTCAAACTTTTATAGTATTGCCATCATTTATAAGTTATAATAAATGAATTTATATTTCAAGGTACGAGCATTTAAATCATTTATCATCGTAGCAATTTCAAAGCATGCAACATAAGTAAATCAAATAGAAATATTCGCATCATCGCTTTCACAGCATTCACCATTCAGCCAAACTATTAGAACAATTCTATACCGATGCTTTAGCAAGAATGAAGGAAATGCTTTTTAAGCCTTTAATGGTCCTTATCGAGTTCGCTCGCATTCTAATTACGCACCGCAGTGGGCGCAAACGAACCAGCTCGCATTACGTATTTACACCTGACAGATATCGCGACTATTTGGGAAGAAAGAATTGCTTAATTTCGCACTCGCCTGAGGATGAATTGGCTGCAAGGAACAATAAGGCATCTTTTTAAAAACGTATGCGTGTAATAGGAATCCCGCCATAGCCTGAAGGCTAGAAATGATTCTGGAGCTTCATTGCTCGTCGGGAGTTCATAAGCTTTCTATAAAGTGGAAGAAAGGCAGTAAATCTCTTAATAGATGCTAAGCATGGGATATCCACGCCTTATATCAATGGCAAACTGTCAACTAGAAGCCGCTTGAGGAAAGCAAACAGCCGCTTGTCGATGACTCAGCTGACAGTTGATTATAATGCAGGTTCAAGTAAAAGGGCATTTGAGCTCTCTTGCATGTGAGATTCCGCAGCATATAATATGTCTGTGAGCCCAGAATAATCGATGTTTGCGAGTACAGTGGGTCCCGTCGTGATGGGACCAAGCAACAATGTAAAAGAGTTACCTAGTCGGATAATCATGATTTGATTTAATGGCTGTTTCAGGGTCCGATATATTCTAAGGTAATCCTGTAGTTGAGGTACTATGCATATGGGCATTACTGGGAGTAGTACTAGTACTAGAACAATTCACGACAGCCGTGAACTATTCGTATACGATTTATGACAAGTTGCCCTTTTCATAACTTCTGTTTTTCCCACCAAAGACGGACTCTTTCAGCAGCCACGCAAGATGAGAATTGTACTATAGTAGTTTGAGGAACATGCTGACGAATCCTAGTTATGTCCGTCCTAGCCTTTTAACTCGCCCGAAATTATTTCTGTCTGAGATATCACTGAGCTCCTGCTTAAAGTTCGCCAATAAGGTCGTCATAATTTATGGGAATTGCGTGCCTTCTGATTGCAAATTTGGTATAATCTTCCTCCGAACATTTTTAAGGACTTGTAGAATCCATGTAAACGAAGAATGCGGTTGTTGTCAGAGGTGAAGCAGCAGGAGGGTGATCGTAATATATTCTGGTTGATCATTGTATACTGCAGAAAATGAGTTAGTATTTCAAATTACAAGAATTATAAGCATTTACTAGCGTCACTGTTTGAAGACATACAACGTTAGTTGAAGTTTTGAAATACTTAAGGTGCGAAAGTTCATTGCCATCATTAAAATAACTATCAAGTTCACATTTGTATGCTGAAATAAATAAATTTGTGTTCCAGGCAAAAGATAATCAGATCTTTGTGTTATATATTAAATATTATATGTGTGTTGCTCTAAATCATAGTTTTATGCTTTTCAGAAATTCGTAATAAAAGATTTATATCATAACTGTACGTTCACGTAATTTCTGTGTTACATTAAATCCTATTTGTACGTTTTAAAATGCACAATTTGTAAATTAAATCTTCCTTTTCATACAAATATATTTATACAAATTAGTCTAAATGTGACATAAGAATTAAATACTTACTTGTATGCCTTTCTGGCCAGGATTTGTCCTGAAAAAGTGAAAGATAGGTTGTAAATATGGATTTTCACAAAGTAAAATGACATTACTATGGATTACTGCAGTGATGGCAAACCTTTTGAGCTTGGCTTGTCAAAATTTGAAAACACTCTAGCTTATCTACGGTGGCGTGTCACATAGGATCACCCGTTTGCCATCCGTGTCATACGTCTCCCAAGAATGCACTAGAACGCACTAGAGGTGAACGGAGCACATGTTGATAACGATGAGGCTGTTGCGAACAACAAATACTTTGTATTACTCAATAACACTGACTACCAATAAGTATTTGGACACCTATGCAAATGACGATATCTGCGGTCCTAAGGTACGTCACGGATTCCGCCGGTGTATATCGTGTAGGAAACAGCATCGGCTTTAGTCGCATGCAAGATGCGTCGCATTCGGAGCTCTCTGATTTCGAGAAAGGTATAATTATCGGGTATCACAAATGTGGCCGATCCTTAAGGGACATATCTAGCGATTTGAAGTACCCAAAATCGACAGTGGCCTATGTGATTAAGAAGTGGAAGGCGAGCGGTGATTGTCGGAATGTGCCCCGAGTCGGCAGACTAAAGAAATTGGGAGATAGAGACCGACGAGTGCTGTCCAGAGAAATTCGGAAGAACCGCACCCAACCGATGGCCCTCATCCGCAAGGAGTTTCAACAGGCATCCGGGAGTATTGTTTCAATGAATACCATCAGTAAGGAAGCACATCTGCTTGGTTTTCATGGTCGTGCTGCTGCCCATAAGCCTTTGATCACAAAGTTCAACCGCGCTGCTCGGTTAATGTGGTGCAAAGCACATCGAAATTGGACCGCAGATCAGTGGAATCGGGTTCTTTGGAGTGACGAATCAAGATTCACCCTTTACCTTTCGGATGGCAGGGTCTGGGCCTGGCGTCTACCTGGAGAACGTCTCCTGCCAGAATGCATTGTGCCAACAGTCAAGTTCGGCGGAGGTGGAATTATGGTCTGGGGGTGTTTCTCCTGGTATGGGCTGGGACAGTTGGTCCCCATTCATGGTAAGCTCAACTCCGATGCCTACTGCACTATTTTGGATGACAATGTGCTTCCTACGTTGTGGCAGTTTTACGGGTGGACCTCTGTTACTTTCAGGACGACAATGCCAGTTGGCATGTTTCGACGTTAACCAAGGCTTGGTATGGTGCCAATGGAGTTCATCGAATGGACTGGCCTGCTCAGAGTCCAGACCTGAACCCTATCGAGAACCTCTGGGACGAGTTGCATCGCCGAATTCAGGGGTGCACTACCCGTGCAAAATCGATGAAGGAACTTCTATGTCTTCTCCAAGCCGAGTGGAAGAAAATACCACTAGCTATCATACAAAGACTTGTGGAAAGTATGCCCCGGAGGGTCCACGCTGTAATTACCTTTCGCGGAGGCTCTACCAATTATTGATTTTGAATAAAGTTAGTTTTTCTTTTCTATCACAGGTGTCCAAATACTTATTGGTAGTCATTGTATTTTGTGTCTGTCAACGGCTCTGGAAATGTGTGTCATACAAAAAAAAAAGGTTCAAGTGTCCCTCATAACACGCGTGCATAGGTTCGCCATCGCTGGATTACTGCATACCTACGGTTATCATATCATTTGTTGCTACTTTCCACATAAAAAATTTTCTAGTTTATTTTTATAGAGGATATGAACTGAAAAGAATATGAACTTTTTATAGAGAAACTGAATGTTTACCAGAAAATTGAAGTTTAGCTTTTAGGACAATGGCGATACTTACGAAGTGGTATGGATGACTAATGCATGATAAAATAATGTTAAAAAAATTTTCTGGAAAGACTTCGTTAAGTATCAAAATGTATTTTAGTATTTAAATACACTTAACCGTTTATGTGAGATAACCAATGTGTGAAAAGTACAATTTTGAGAGAAATCGTTTCAGGAAACAGAAATAAAATATATAAAAAATGAACGAATATAAAAAATAAGAGTATGAATAAAGAAAAAAAACTTGCTTTTGACAGAAAATGTTGGAGGTGTAAAAAAAAAGATGCCTTTGCAACCAGTAAACACGCTTTATGAAAGCTGAAAATGAAGCTCTGTATTTGCAAGATGAAAAATGATCTTTGGAGAAAATTTTTTCTTTCCATTTTTAAGCTGGAGGAGAAAAAGTACCTTGACAAATGACGAGAGAGAGGGATGTTGGGTACTGTGTAATGACAGAATGTTTTTTAATCGCGCCCTATTTTATATGAGCCGTAGGATAAATCACAAAATCGATATTTCCCGAGTAAACACGGGACTTTCCTGCAGATAATCGACAAGAAAATCTCGTAGTCCAGAAATAGGACTTTCTCGAGAAAGATTTGCGACTTTCGGTTTGAATCAAAGCTCCGAGTGACGACAAACGATTATAACAAATCTTGCAATTTCTTATTGTTTTTCATTGACAAAATTATTCTGTACGATTCCTCACAGTGTAATGCTGAGTTACTGTTGAACGTGAAGAATTTTAAGAACCGATAAGCCAATAATCGCTTGAGTTCGTGTGACAGGAAACAACAATATGGAAGGGTAAAATAACCCTTTATTGTTCAAAATAAGATTTAAAAAAACTCCGTCTTGGAGTGCACAATAAAGCCGAAACTTGGGTTTTGAACTTAAGAGACCAAAAATTATACTAAACTAATCTTAACTAAAGATATATAGCCGAAGCTATCAAGATTCTAACCGATTTGGCCCCTTAAAGTTAATAGACTGCGAAGCTATTAAGGACCTAAAGTACGGCCGAGCGTAATAATAGCTTACGAGAGAGTTGCCTAAAAAAGGCGGACACGTGCAGCCAGAATACCTGGTATCTCTGTCACTAAGATCGAAGAACTTCGCGGTTAAATACCGCTCTTCCTCATTATGTATTCAGACGTGATTCTAAAACTACGTTCTAGTCGGAAGTAGTACGTTGAAGTTAAGAATCGATAGGAAAGGAACTTTAACTCATAATTTAATTGTTAATAAAATTAATATAATTCTTACAATTGCATTAAAATAAGTGCTGTTTCTTTCAGTTGGCGACACATTTTTGCTCGTTACAAATATAAATAAAGAACCACGACAACATTTACCAATTGCCAGGACGTAAGATCCTAGGATATCTACTTAATTAATGTAACACTATAAGATCAGCAACGTAAGATAACATATTAAATCATAACATTTAAATTTATTGCATAGGAAACAACATAACATATAAAAACGCAAAATAGCAATGTCAAATATTTTACTTAACTTACTTATTAAAGGGATAATGAGCACAAGAAAATGAAACCTTAAAATATGTACGTCTTATAAAACTTTTGCAGCAAGTGTTAATTATGCCACATATAAATAAGAGCCGCTCAAGCGGGAGTGTGGTTAGAGGCTCTGACTACCTTACTGAAGGGCACGGGTTAAAATCCCGGAGAAGGCACGGATGTTGTAAATGTATAATGTCTTTGAAGCATGGGGACACTCTAATTATACGGGGAGCCGAAAGGCCCCTCGTGTGAAATGTTTGTAGGAGTACAAGAGTGAGAGACCGTTGGAGCCACATACCCCCCCCTGGGGTGCTGTCCCTCAAAGCTGAAGGACCTTTGAGGCACCTCAAACCTTGCCGATATATGGTGTTAAAGGCTCTTGCCAGCGACAGGAGCAATCTTGTATTTCTTGCCGCGATGAATTTCGTGGGCTTGCTCTGATATCAGACAAGCGAGAAGAGGAAGATTTTTGAATATTATAATAATGAAACGGATTTTTCAATTACATTCTATTTATATTAATAATATAATAATTAAATTCTATTTATAGCTTATTGTCTTTTATGTGTATTTATTTTTTTATTTCTGTCCATAAGCTCATGAACATTTGAAATATTTTAACATTTTCCCATTTATACCATTTTACGTGCAAAAAATAAATTCAGAAACAAAGGCCAGAGTTTTCAAAATTGCAAATAATTTTTAGAGGTATTTTACCGTTATCCGATAGTGAGGACATAAACGATTGTACCAATGCTCTTAAGTAAGCCCTATAGCCAATCAACCAGTATAGTGGTTATTGATCTTGACTGCCGTACCGATGAGCTCGGGTTTGGGTACCACAGAAGGCATGGATATTTGCACGTGTATATAGCGCACGGGCGGCAAGGTGCCCTTCAAAATATAGTGCAGACACATTAGGATTTTTTGGGAGGACGGAGAGATGAAAAATTAACAACGCCTTTGCCGGGAATCGAACCACGGACCTCTGGAATACCGGCCCGGCGTGCAGAACCATTACACCACGAAGACATGCTAGGAAAGTGGGATAAATAACTTATATACTCCCCTTTTTAAAGGGCGCGACTCGGGTTTTTAGAAGACCCAGTCGCCAAATCCTGGGTGTGGGGAATCCTTATTCAACACCCTTTTAGTTCAGGCGCCACTGTAGAGACGTTAGGTTAGTTGGAAAAGCCGGATAGATGAAAAATTGGCAACGCCCTCGCCGGGAATCGAAACACGGAACTGTGAAATACCGGCCCAGCGTGATGAACCACTACGCCACAAAGGCACGCTAGGAAAGTTGGAGAAATGCCTTATAATACGGTTAGCCAAAAGTGACCTCCAGAGGTTGATGTTAGGTGAAGAGGGTTGGGAGACCCTTGGACTTTTCAAATTTCCTCTTACATATAGAGGGTGCTCATAAAAAGATTCCCCGATAAATGAGTCCTAACAGTCTATCCGTTCAGACAATCGAAATGAAATTTCAAATACTATTATTTGAAGGTATGCGCTCGAGATTGTGATGAATTAAAACACTAGATCAGCGCCGGTTACAGTTACGGAGAAAATATTTCGAAATTTTCGGAAGGCAACATCCACTTTTTTCCTGCGCAATCTAATCAGCAGATTGAATAACGAAAAATGGCGTTTGAATAATACAAGTATGCCGAAAATTGTCGCGTAAAACATTTTCAAAGAAGAGCATTATAAGGGATCGGTGACAGTACAGACAGGAGGTGTATGGCTTGGCGCTATTTCGCCAGTTTGGCGAGACAGCCATTTAACTGAATGTTAAATGGACTTACCAGTGCAATGCTATTTTTCAGGCGATGCTTAGCATTTCTGATACCTTTCTTGTTACATTATACAAGTAGTAGTACAATTTACATACAATTTTACTAAAATAATTCAATTTTTTTCAAAATTTGTAAAACTATTATGGTGCCCAGCTTGAGCATCTGTTATATGATAACTATTGTAGATACAGTGTTTAACTTCAGCAACATACCTTTATGACGGTCATGTCTTGTTCGACATTTCATTGCTGCCACGACAACCAAGGCTACAAAGACGAGGCCAAGCACAACAGAAAGAAGGACGATAAGGATGGGACTGAATGTCACTTGCCACACATTATCTGCGAACAAAATAAATAAATAAATAAATAACGCATAAATAGTAATAAAAAACAAACTATTCTACAACTAGATACGTAATTCATGGCGTTAAAACAGTTTTATTCATTATGTTGGTGTTCGCCGAAAACATCGCGAACGAAAACGTAGCGGGGAAAATAACGGAAGGAGAAAACATCGTAGTAACAAAACATCGTGGAAGAATATAAAGCAAAGAGAAAACATCGCAGTTCTAAGAACTATACTACAAAGAACTTCAATACTAGTGAGGGCGTGTATATGTAGGACGCCAGTGATTCTCAATAGCATTGGTTTATTAATTTAAGAACTGAACTGAAATGAAGCTATGCAGCCCTGTGAAGCAAGGGCCAAGTCTACTGCATTTTATCACAGTCAGTGACCGTGATAAAATGCAGTAGGCGTGGCAAGGTTATTAAAACAAAATTAAGCCAAAGGAAATCTTGTATAAAATTATCCCATTCCCCGTAGGTGCTCTTTTATATTAAGTGATTAGCATGCTCTTTTAAACAAGCGGAAGACCCATGGTTCGAATTCCGTCGATGGCACAGTTAACTTTTTTTTACACAGTTAAGTTTTCGATTCGCAAATTCCAGTAGTCTCTACAGCCTGTGGCAATCAAATTCATCGGTCTCGTTCAAAGTCATTGGCGAAGTGTGCCTTTACAGTCACTGGCAATTAATCACTTAATTAGTTACCAGCAGCGCAGTAAAGTAAGCCAGATAATAAAAATAAAATTAACCGAAAGGCACCAGGTGGTCCGTCATCTTGGCGTATGGTTTCGGTGCCAGCATTATGAGGTCATATAATATTTCATGCAGTGACAACAGTTGCCAAGCTTCTAAGATAACAAAATGCATGGTAACGCACCAAAACACCAAAATTTATATTTTCTTTAAAAGCTAAATCAAGCATTTGCCAATTTAATGTTTACTAACTATTGAGTCACCCTGCATTTACAGATTGAGGAAATTTCCATCGATACAATCAGAAAAGCACCTGTAATTTCTTCTTTTCAAGTGATTATTTTTTCCCTTGACTACAGCATTTCCAAGATTTACTCTCAAACCTCGCAAATTGCCTCTGCGGTCGCAGTCAATAATCCACCTACTCCCCGTATGTGTGTGAGTCCGAAACGACACAATTCTGTCGACCTGCTCTCAATCTCGCCAGCAGAAAAGTCATTAAATTCTCGCACGCAGCGGAGCAATGTTATTTTGTCAGAAGCAGCTGGCAAGGAGTTATCAGAGACCATGTGATCTCCCGTGACAAATAGCTCTGCAACGACATACTGGCGTGCCTTCGATAATACCGCCATTAGGAACGGACCCTTTCACAAAAAGCCCCGTGAGAAATGTTCTCTTCCTCAAACACAGGGGTCGTCGATAAATATAACGTGTAAACAGATGTAAGTAAAATTTATACTTTAGCAGTTAATTTGAAGTTATTAGTCGAATTCTTGTCTTATCACTGAGTGTTTGTAAAAAATGGCAACGGACTTTTATCAGTTTGACTGTAGACACTGGACTTGCACTTTAAGTTAGAAAATTTCTTTAAACGAGGTAGAGAAATTTATGACAATAAGAGGTAAATGCCTTTGAAAAGATTAATTGTAATAATAAGTGATGTTACGATGGAAAACCTTGAAAACGAAGCACTTCACGTATCAGAACAACGAAATACATTAAAGATAATTTTTGAAGTTTCAGAACTTTACAACATTTCTAAAAATGAATTAGATATTGATTTCCTTTTAGAGCAGTCTATATTCTTCTCTCTCTATGTACTTTAAATCACCTTTGGGAGGGGGCATTTTCTTTATGTTTATATTCAATAACGTTTCCAAAACCTTATACAGCAGGAATTATTTTATTAAGTTCCTTTACAAGTACCTTCTAAAGAACTAATCGTATGGCGTATGCTCGTCTCTCCCGATGAAATTTTACGAACTGAATCTAAAAAAATTTGATTGTATGAACTTGCAGTATTTTTTTAAAAAGAACTCCATCCCTGTATGGGTACTATCAGGGAAAATTGTGCTTAATAAAGGATTTTAAATTTTATATATGAAATATTTTAAAGTTATTTTAGCTCCTGCTCCAACATATTGAGGTTTGATGATCCGTTTTATAGAAAGAATTATCTAAACCGTAAAGACTTGAAGAAGAGCAACCGAAGATGATGGATTAAGGTTTTGTAGTTTCTGAACACGACTGATACACGGAAATACTGATTATAGGCTTGATTATGGAAGATAGATGAAAGACTCTGCTAATTTATGGAATCTGTGTCTTTCTAGAAGTTTGTAGAATGGCCATGAACGCAGCTTTGTCAGTTTTACTGACTTACCACTGAGAAAATTGCTTTAAGTTTCTCAAAGCATTTATTCTTAGGTATGTTAAAAAAAATATGTGTTCTTTCTGATAACTTATAGGTGCTCTCCTTGATAACTTATGAATTGTTGACTTGCAATTAGACAACGTAGTTGCGGTTTCACATGATAGAAGACGTTATTTTCACTTTATGTTGCCAACTGATGTGCACAGATTTCCCTAGCTTGCTTTTCCGTCCTTCCTTTACGGGACTCCTAGCAATTTTGGATGAAATTTTCCAGTTCTAGATTCCGAAAGTGTGTCCCAAAGAAACTGCTGTTCCTTTCTCTTAAAATTATTCCTAATTATTCTGTTACTTCATCGGAATTCTGAAAATTCTGATATGTGTAAAAACGTTTTCAGACACATGGTTTGAGTTTTGACAATACCACTGGAACTTAAAATTCACATATTGTATTCCGCAACAAGGTAGTGTACAAAATTATTCGCGACATTGTAAAGTACCTTAATTTATAGGAAATAAATAACTTAAGTACGAAACTTAACAGAAGTAATTACATTATGTTGTTTTTACACATGCGGCGAACTCGGTGAAAAATTAGCGCTCCCACCACGAAAGAGTTCCAGATACCAGAAGAGAATGTCTAAGAGCATTTTTGCACTGGCGGCATAACAGGTTGACCTGTACGCAGCAAACCTCAGTTAGACCCTCAAGTTCTTTAACCATGCTCAAAACCTCTGAGGCAATAGAGGTGCCGCTCGTTTCAGCTTTGCAAACAGATGGTGCCAAAAGACAGAGTCATCAAAACTCGCCTCACAGATTTCATAAATGCTGAATCTATCTATCTCTGGTAATAAGGCAGACATCAGTGCCTCATATAGGACATAGGAGGAAATTAGTCGATGTAACTTTTGCATGGAATTCATGATCATTGCTACTTTCAAAACGTCTGTTGTCTAACTCATTACCACAAAGAGCATTATTGAGACCATCTCAGAAAAATGTTTCTGCAGAAATTGGTAGGTACTCGAAATAAGATGATGTGTTAATGTTGTGCCTCCTACCAATCTCACATGGATTTAATAACATGCGTTTTCTTTTCTTTTGGGGAAATTAACAAGATATTTGACAAAACTTTGTCTGCAAATTTCCAAGTTTTGGGGAAGATAATGTTATTTTGTCTCAAGTTTTGTTAACCTGTGAGAATTTCACACTTGCATCGTCGAAGAGGTTGCTTTTGTCGACCATACGATATACAGGCTATGAAAGAAACAAATCATTGCAGAGATGTCTACCGAATCAGTAACAGCGGACACACTCAACATTTTAAAAATGTTTTAAACTAATTATGAGTTTTCTTCTCTTTCACTACTTTGAAATTTCGTATGTATTGCACATTTTACACTCTTTTGTTAAAAATTCGAAGTACCATGAAGGACTTTTGCGATTGTGACGAAATTTGGTATGCAAAAATATCTTGATCGAACATGCAAATGATCAAAGTATCAAGGCAAATGAACAGGAATAGTGATCATAGCGCGCAGTTTTAATGCGCAATTCGCAAAAGTATAAAATCAGTAACAGAGGCGGAAAATTTATCTTTTATTGTTGCTGCCATTGCAATTCCGTAAAGAAGCATTTAAAGCTGTCATTACGACGATGTCGAAGACAAATAAATGACTTCGAACGTGGGGTCGCATCGTAGGCGTTGCGTGAAACTGGGTGGTCATACCGACCAATAGGAAGCCACCTGCAGCGCATAGACACTGCTCTGCAAAGATGTTGGCAGCAATGGTTGCTACAAGAAAATTGCCGATGAAATGAAGGCTCTGAAAGGCCAAAGTTCACCAATGCGAGGCAAGATAGGTTGACTGTTTCCAGGCCTGAACTGCCCTAACGGTATCATTGTCGACTATTCAACGCACTACAGCCACGTCTATACCTCCCGTGGTACCGTCCACCATCTCACAGCGCGCTCGTCTGAAGTGTGGTTACGCTCACAGAGGCCTTTAAGACGTTTGCCTTTGACCCCACAATATCGGCGGAGTCGTCTGGAGTGGTGTCGCAGCCGATCATCATGGCTGCCATCAGATTGGCATCGTATAGTGTTCAGCGATGAACACTACACGATGCCTTGAAGCAGATGACCACTGTGTTCGTGTCTAGAGAGGACGGGGCCAGCGGTACCAATTAGCCTTTGTTTTACTTAGGCATACAACATGTGATGGTGTGGGCGCTATTTCTTATGACAGCAGGTCATCTATAGTCATCTTCCTTACATCTTTAACAGCTGAACGATATGTGATACCACCCTGCGGCCGGTTGCATTATTCTTCATAGCACGTCATTCTGGGGCCATTTTTCAACAAAATAGTGCCAGGGTACATACCGCTCGCATATCTCTGGACTGTCTCCGTGCGGTTGATAATCTTTCTTGGCCAGCAAGGTCACCATACCTTTACCAATCGAACATGTCTGGGACAATGTAGGCCGCCAGATCCGGGAACCACTAAAAATCACAGATCTGGAACGACAACTGATGAATGCCTGGCATAATGTGTCGCAGAATGACATTAGGAGACTCTGCTACTCCTTGCCTCGACGAATTCAAGCACGCATTGGCGCCAGGTGCGGTTCGACCAACTACTAA